CTGATTTCCCCAGAGAGGAATTTTCTTCCACATGATGATACTCCTGAGAAGGATCTGTCAAACAATTGACTGGCATTGAAGACTGCAAATTTTCTAAGGGTTTCCTGGTTCCTTTTTTCTCCTCTTTACAAGTGCATATTACATCAGCTTTCATCATCTCAACCACTTCCCTGTGTGCTCTCGTTAATGTTTCTTCATCATCTGTGAGTGCCCAGTGAATGTGCCTTACACCACTGCACTCACTGAATAGTCTGGTTTGTCTTTCTGTTGCACTTTTCACACGGTCTTTCTGACTCTCTGCACCAACTACAGTGAGCTTGAGTGTATTGTGAAGAAGGGAATCAATATAGCCCTGCAAAAGCACAAATACATATAAAATTGTTTAACAGCACTAACTTGTACGAAATGTAAAATCAAATTACTATTACCTAGTGTAATATCTGTTTCACAGCCCTGTAGTGAAAAATTGATGTTTAAACATAGACATCCACACTAAATCAAAAGAAATACAAGAATTTAATATCAACATTTTCAAAACTGAATCTATTAAAAAACAATATGCTCTTTGTTTTAGCATTCAGAACTAAGGTTGGTCATGAAACTTATGTAATTGCACTATCACTTTATGTCACAGCTGAGCACCGAATTATCATCTTGAAAGAAAGAATGAAAAAAGAAAGGAATTATAAATCCTATTTAATCAACTAGTTGATGACTAGAAAGATTTGATTTTACAATACTGGTTCCTGTTCCTGCCATTTACTACCTATGGTAGATGACATATTCTAAATGAAATTCTTCTCATGCAATACATTTCCTAGAAATGATGGTGATATTGCAATACAGTCTGTCAATCTTTACATAAGTTTCATGACCAACCTTGTTACGACTAAGGTTGGTCATGAAACTTATGTAATTGCGCTATCACTTTATGTCACAGCTGAGCACCGAATTATCATCTTGAAAGAAAGAATGAAAAAAGAAAGGAATTATAAATCCTATTTAATCAACTAGTTGATGACTAGAAAGATTTGATTTTACAATACTGGTTCCTGTTCCTGCCATTTACTACCTATGGTAGATGACATATTCTAAATGAAATTCTTCTCATGCAATACATTTCCTAGAAATGATGGTGATATTGCAATACAGTCTGTCAATCTTTACATCATAAAATCTCATTCTCAAATATGATACCTCCAAAAACTTTATCCTTCTTATATTACATACTTACCAATCCACTACCAATATCCAGGACATATTTACTTCCTGTGACATTTGCTATTCTTTCTGTGAGTTTCAAAAGACAGAGAACCTCATGTGTCTTCTTCTCAGATAACCCTTTAGTGAAAGTCTGAGGCACTTTCCTGGTATCAGCCACAGGATCATTCTCACAGCTTGCTCTGGCTAGGTTCTGCAAGGAGAACTTCTGACATTTCTCTAAAAAGAGTCGCAGAGAGAGTGGCCAGTCATCCTGCCGGTTAGATAAAGCAATAAATAAGAGGGATAAGAGGGAAACAATAGGCAAAATTCACTCATTAGATATTATGCTACATTCTTTTTATTATGCTGTAAGTATAACAGGATTAAAAAGAATCTTGACTGCTCTTATGGCTCATGATTTTCTTTATATCCATTCTTCTTAAAAGTTATTAATAAAAATCCTAAAATACCAATCCCCTTTGTGATAAATCTGCAATACTTTCTTTTGAAACAGCTCATACTCAGTTTTGGCATATATAATTTCATAACAAGTAAGAAGAGTCACAAGTAATTTACTTTTTTAATATACATAAAAAGAAACAAACAACTGTTTACCTGAGTTTTTCCCTGAGGAATTCCATTTAAGGTATGAACTGGAAGATTGAGTAAACTTGCCTTCCAGTCTTCAGGCATTTGTGAAAAGATATCTTTTGTGAAAATCTGAAAACAAAGATCCAAATGCCATGTCTCCATCTCAATAATCTGAAGCTTAGGTAATATAAAGTTTGTGCAATACACAAATATTCTAACTATAACAGTCCTGGTGGACTACAAGGGAATACCAAAACAATTATGACTCTGGAATGCAAGATGCTTGCTGTGCAACCTACAGTCAGCATTAAAAGTATTGCTGCAAAAATCCTGCTCAAGCACCCCTTTTAATTTTTTGGTTCAAATACAACCAAAGTATTGGCACGATCCAAGGAGGCAAAGTGAGTGGAGCTTAATCAGCTGTCACTTGTTTGAACTGGATAACATGTCTCGCTTATTCACAGGCAGGGCATTCAGTTTGTCTTTTGTGTCACCCCACGCAGGTTATGAGCATGACCATTGCTCCTTATTTTGCCTTCTGTGGAAAAATGGGAGATGGCAAGGATCTTACAAAGGAACAGATTTCTGCCATAGCTTTCTTGAAGCTTGGGGGGGGGGGGGGGTCTAATAGGGAGATTGCTCTCATTACTGGCAATGAAGGTCCACCACTCCACAAGAACAGGTTTGTGAGGCCATGTATCTGCTCCAAAAGAACCAATAAAGATTCTCCAAGGTCAAGTGGACAAAAAACCATGAGTAACAGCAAAGGAACTCAAGAGGATGTACCCACAACTTCTCCAAAAAGTCTCCACTAGAATAGTACAGTTGCACCTCTGTAATAACCTTAACTTCCGACATCGCACCCATGACGAATGTCATTGTTAGACTACTAGCAAAAAATGAAAAGGATTATTTTTTTGAAGATATACCTTGCTTTGGATATAAAGTGGAAAACTGTCTTATGGAGCAATTGGGTAACTTTTAGTCACTGGGAACCATGGGGCAAAGGTGTGGTCATGCTCATAAAATGTGTGGGGCGACACAAAACAAACTAAACAAACAGAATGCACTGCCTGTGAATGTGCGGGACACATTATCCGGTTCAAACAAGTGACAGCTGATTAAGCTCCACCCACTTTACCTCCCTGGTTCGCGCCAACACTTTGGTCGAATTTGAACCAGTTATAATAAGTGCCTAATAAATTGCCAAAAATCTTAGCCTTTTATTTTCCTGCCATGACTGTTTACCAGTTAATTTCTATTTTGACTGCAATCCATAAACACTTAAAAATCTTTCTAATAAGTCTTAAACAAGTAAAAAAGAACAAAAAAACTAACAAACTCTTACTTGAGTAATTTTTCTTTGGACTGCAATTAAAATTGTATCATATCTTACTTAGTTATTACTTTATCATATTTTATACTATTGTAGTCACTAAAATATGACAATGCCTCTAAAATTCTGGTCAGTCCATACAATTATAAAACATACATACCTTTGTAACATGAAAATCATATATCCATTCCATATCATGTAAAAATTGTGCAATATCTTCCATATACTTCTGCTCCATTATCTGGAAGAACGATGATATGCACCAGACAAAAAGCATAAAAGAGAAGCACTCTTAAATATTTGAATCAATTGTGAGGATAAAATTCAAAACATTACTGGGCTACTATAAAAAAAGTTGACGGTAATTTACTTCAAAAAAGCAAGAAAAAAGCAAACAAACATTATCTATCCATATTTTCTTATAAAGAGAAGACTAACCTGCTTTTATTTCAGCTATACAAGACTATTATAAACTGCCGGTAACAAGTGAACAAATAATGTTTCATGAATTTACCCAATGGCAATACGTATAATTTTTTGGTAAGGTCAAGCATGGATTCATAGTCCAGCTCTCAGTTGAGTATCCTGGTGATTGGGATAGCCTCAGGATGTGATGAGCTGTCTCCTGCTGCCAAAGGCTTAAATATTTAAATATACACATATTTTTCCAAGATTTCGTAGATAATAAGTGTTCTTATGAAATAACATGCACATACAAAAGCAAAATCATATAAGTATATCAGTAGATATGTAGGCTTCACACAACAGTGAGCATTAGGTAGCAAAGGATGGAATAAATCCAACAAACAAAAAAGGTGTAGGAATAGTGTTTGTATACCTATTAATAAAAAAACAATTGGAAATCATTTGCATTTTTTTTCTTTTATAAAACTTTTAGTACTCTTTAGAATTATTATTTTTTTAAGAATGGACCAAAAGCAACCAAAATTCCTCTATTAGTGCAGACAAGCAAATTCTCAAGGATAGATACTAAAATTTGAATAGGAATCCAGAAAAAGAGTTCTCAAAATTTGTTTGAAAGCTAATAAAATATGGAAAAAAGTATTAAATTTGAGGGTAAAATACACCATTTGATGTTTTCCAATAATTGCCAAGGAGAAAATGTCAGTAATTTCTTTTAACAATATGAAAAAAAAGTTCTCAAAATTTGTTTGAAAGCTAATAAAATATGGAAAAAAGTATTAAACTTGTGGGTGAAATACACCATTTGATGTTTTCCAATAATTGCCAGGAGAAAATGTCAGTAATTTCTTTTAACAATATGCATTTCAAGGTAGTTACAGAATTAGGGAGAGAATGATACCATCCAAGACTACATTCTTCAATATAGTAGTGTCAGTCATCTAATGTAGAAACCCTTAAAACAGTTACTTGAATCTTCTCTGATAAACAATTGACTTTGTGAATTGATTTGCACTTGATTGGAAAAAATTAATCAGAAAAACTAGATGCTAAATTCCTCTACTAACTACCAAAACTACCCTTGAATCAACAGGCCAATCAAATGAAAGGTCAGTTTCAAGGTGCAGGTTGTTAATAGTTTAGTGTGTAAGAGTATAGAAGAAATTCTAGTTGTCATCTTAATTCATGGCAGGCTTTCCAGGTGCACATTCAATCACTGCTTGGCAATGCAGAGTAGATAAGAGCACATATGCCTTCTTTTTGTTAGGATCGTAGGACCCTCCAAGACAACAAGATATCACACCAGGGAACCAACCAACTTCATAACGGGATATATATATATATATATATATATATAATATATATAATATATATATATATATATTTATTTTTTTTTTTAAGAAATAGTAATGGCAAAGAGGGAACAAACAGAGTGGCTAAACTAACCCCAAAAGAAAATATGAAATATCATTATCAGCTTAAGAATGCAGTCTGCCTTTGATAATCTGGCAATATGACAACAAGCCATTATACATTTTGATGAAGCAGAGCTTTTAGACTACTCTGTTGATCTACTGTCAAATAAAAAAAACAGTCCAAACTAGATCTTGTCAAATATATGTGGTGAAGGTTTGTTGGCCTTTGCCAGAGTGTCGAAGTTGCAGGGGCATTCTGTCATAGGTACAGGCAGTATAAGATTTAAGAACTGCCAATTTACTTTTACACTCTGCACACTGCTATCAGAATACATGTCAATTCCAACCTCAGGCACAATGCAGGATGACTGGCAAGAGGTGCAGGAAGCCTGATAATGCCTTTGAGTCCAAACACACTTTCTGGTAACTCATTTCCTGGGCACACCTGTGAAATAGCAAAACATAAGATTATGTTTGCTGGGCCCCTCCTTATGCATGTAGGAGGCAGGAATGTCTTATAACAAAAAAAAAAAGTTTCAAGGGGAAATTGTAGCTGAGTCACGTGATGAGGAGGATGTCTTGAAATGAATGCACAAAGCACTTGGAGTGAGAATGACTCTGTGGCCTTTCTGGAAGGGGTTCATTATGAACTCCTGCAGGTTTTCCAACAGTCTGAGGTTTATTATCAGTCAACTATACCTGGAGAGGGCTGTCTTCAGGGAGGACACTGTCCTTGCAAGAACCTTTTCCTGCCTGCCATTACTAGTGTAGGGTGTGTTAAGGAAAATTTAATAATACAAAAATATAAAAAAATAGCACATATAATACAATATTATGTATTGATACTGTTAATAAACAGCAGTGTAAACTACACTGAGAGATAATATGGAGGCTGCTTAATGAAAACAGTGTATCATCATGTTGATATAGCATAATAAATGACAAATATAGACCTCAGAAACTGGCAAAACAGCAGATATGATTCTGCAGAAAAGGGGTTAATAACACTGCAAAGAAGTAAGGAGTCTTCATACCAAGCATGAGAGTTCATGTGAGCTGGACCTAGAAGTCACAATCCAGGAAAGTTGCCAAGGAAACCTATTGCCAGTATATTAGTCCATGTGCGCACCAGGAGGCACCAAGATCCAACGGGTTTATATGTTTGTCAAGGAGGTGTTCAAGTATTTACCGGTAAACAGTGGAGGTTTCTTGGACTTTTACTCGAATACTAAGACAAGAGGTACAGCCCTAACATGTGCGTAACAACGGCCTTATAAAAAACTGGTCGTATATCTGCACTATATTGACAGTATAAGTCCATCCATTCACATTGCAGTGGGTTTCGAGGCCCAACCCAACGTAGTTCATAACACTAGCGTGTACAATAGCTTTGTTATTACTGAGTTGTGGTTGAAGTTCATAGAAGACAAGTTTCTTAGAATCACTCGTTCTATCGTTTGCATATATTACTTTTCATCTAAAGGAAGGCTGGCAGGAATTATACCTGTACCGTTTATCTATCAACTTGCTTTATATACCAAGGCAATTCGGTAAATTTACCGCGGATAACAATCAGGGTTACAGTAAAAAAAGGATATGGAATGGTTACCTTGACGTAAACTGAGGTAGAGATTACGGAGACGGACGCGCGTAGATTGAGAAATGGACACCGCCATATTATAAAGCGGAAAAAATAGAGGGATGGAATATAATATAAGCTGCGCCGGACCAATATTTACCGTTAAATAGAAAAAAACAGCGGCGCAACGCGCCGCGCAGAGACAAAGTCGAAATCGACCTTCTGCGGCAGTCGTTTGTTTATGGCTGCATTTTCTATAAACGTTTTCTATATTTCCATTTTCTATACCCGCGTTTTCTCTAAATGTCACGTTTTCTTTCAACCAACGTGGAAGGATTATCGATTACTAATATTTTAATCTATTTTTTAATCCTATTTCTACTAACATTTCCTCTCTTCCTTTTAGGCTTACACATTTTAAGTATTGTTCTTTGTAATGTATATATTTTATGATCTATAATTTCGTTATCATAACGTAGATTCACTGTTAACAATGTAACAACTTTACTGCTTCTTTACCTTAATTGCCTCCTATGTCGGAAAAAACACAATGTTCATTACTTGAACTCTTTCCGGTAAGCTCTTGACCTAGCAATTTTTGTGTGCGGTATGACATGTGGTAAATTAAAGATATTTGTTTCAATGTTTGTTTTATATTTATAGGTGTTTTAAAGACAATTGAAAAAATAGTGTATCTTTTATCATAATGGATAAATAGCGTTATTCAAACATAATTTTTTACGGTAGGTACTGACAATTCGTGGAGGAATATGCCGGTCGCTTGCCCTCATATCGGTAGCCCTTAAATGCCCCCAAATGCAACGACGGCTGACGATTTTATAATATATATTAATGTAGATGCGACAACCCCCCCCCCCAAATGATAATAGAAAAGTTAGATGCAATTTCACTTCGCCGGGTACTTTGCCACGCACATATTAAAAATGTTGTATCCGGCGGAGAATAAAAGATTTCATTAGGTCCTCCACGCCGCATCTCGTCTGTAGTGACGGTATGAGTTATTGTTTAATAATTTTTAAAATAAATTGACATCGTGCGAATAAGCGGAGGGTGGTAATTAATTTGATATTTTGTGTTCGTTATTTTGGTTAGCATGATAACATATTATATTTGTAAAAAAAAATGTGTATCGGATATCGGGTTTGTACGCATTGCGAGTTGCGCTTGTTTACTTAAGCGGTGTTTCATTCGGTGTCCGTCGGACAAAGTTTGGCTCGTTTTTTTTTTTTCTTTTTTTTTATACGGCCTTTCTATTGTTGCCATGACATAAATTTAGGCTCGTCTTTCATATAATTACAATTTCGTAGATGTTTAAGTGGTATTTATTATATTTAGACATTTACAGGTTGCTATTGACATCGTGCACCCCCCCCCCCAGTGGAGCTTCGTGAACTCGCTTTTTTGTAATGGACGACGTCGCCAAATACGTCGTCTCACTCCAGGAAATGCAAAAACCCCGAAATCTCCTCTCATTTTTAACCTCTCCCACAGGCCTGGTATTGAAAAATGGATGAACCCGGGGTGGCAACATTCCCACTGGCCACGGTGACGACATTTTGCCCTATATTTCCACATGAAACTATTGGGGAGACTATTGAGACTTGGCATCATCTCCCTTGCATCCCCCTCTTTCATAAGCCACGGACTTCGGCCGTCCATACTTCGCCGAAGCCTAAGGAACAAACTGTTTATCCCTGCCAGTGAGGAGGATTTTCGCGCACGGCGTGTTGCCACAACAGAACCTTTTGTTATTATTTTAATAAACCTATTTTGTATGATTTTTCATGGCACCTTTCTCACCTCCTACATCACAACCTCAGATGGGTTTTTAACCCTCAGTAAGCTTTAACGTTTAAACATATTTATTATTTTATTTCAATTTTAATAATGAAACAGAACCCAAATCACTTAATTTTTTTAGTCGTATTTTATTTCTCATCTTTATAATGGGTTGCTTTTAATTACTTTTATTTACTACTTTTAATTCACCAGATTTTACATATGGCCATAATTGATAGGATGGTTCTTTTAACGTAAAGTTTTTATTTCGATTTCATGTTAATTATATATTTATCAAGTTCTATTATAGAAGTATTTGCTTTTTATAGTTTTATTGCACTTTAACATGAATTTTATCAATTTAGTATCAGAGGAGAAACCCTGAGACTAACTCAGGGGATTCGAGGGTTGGTCGTGACTCTGACTGCTTATGAGGGAACCCCGGAACGGGCCTCCCCTTTTTCTTAAGATAAGTGGTTGTGGAGGTACCTGAGTACAGGAGGTGATAGAAGTTTGCCACGTTATTTGTTCGGAAAAGTGACCTAGTGATTTCGGTGCCAGTCCATTTATGGTTTTATTTCTTTTATGTGATTTTACCAGTGCTTTTTTAAAATTATTTTCCCGTTCAATGTTGATTTTATCATTCAGTATTTTATCGTTTTGTAGAGTGTTTTATCGTTTTGTAGTGTTTTATAGTTTTGTTCAGTGTTTTATCGTTTTGTTCAATGTTTTATCGTTTTTTCAGTGTTTTTTAGTTTTGTTCAGTGTTTTATCGTTTTATTGTTGTATTATTGTCATTTTAGTATTCAGTTTTATTGTCGTTTTATTGTTTTTTATCATTTTAATTGATAATTTTTCGTATGATCTTGAGTTTCCCCCTAAATCTGTGATAGGAAAGAAGAGTATCAGTGGAAATCATAACTAATGACAGTGATTACTTTACTAATTGCGTTGGAGATTTCTCCCCGCACACGCCTCTCCTCGGCTTAATTCACGCATACCAACCTTTATATTCTCGCCACAACCATACACACCACATACACGCACCATGCATATCCAAACAATCTATCGCTCCTTTCTTGCATCGCCTTCCACACTATTCCCCTTCCCACAAACAACATCCGTTCCCGTACGGCAATTAAATGGGTGGTGGCAGTGACGCTACTTTTACACACTCTAAGGCGAAATATAATTGTATTCGCAGTTCACTACAACTGCGCCACTAACATGTATTTGGTGCCGAGCGGCGGGACGAACATAGAGTAAAGTAATCAACTTGATGAGATACTCCACATCATGCGTAAGGAAAGGAGCGTAACGACTGTCCAAACTAGCGCTGGTAAACAAAGATGCTCCACTGTTAATTAGAGCTGGGCAACGACAGGTAAAAGTCAACGAGTAGTTCTAAACGTTAATTGTTTGTGGCATCTCATTCGGTATTCGTTTTCTTACAGTTGGTGTTTGTTTTTAGTTTCATTTCTTAGACTCTTTTAACAGTTTTGTATCAATTAATT